CCACTTAGGAAGGAAAAATCAGTTTCACACATACAGAATGGGAAGAGACTGTCTAGGAAGGAGTAGGTCCAGAGAAGAGCAACAAGAATGATTAAAGGTCTTGAGAACATGACCTATGAAGGAAGGCTGAAAAGAATTGGGTTTGTTTAGTTTGGAAAAGAGAAGACTGAGAGGGGACAGGATAGCAGTTTTTAGGTATCTAAAAGGGTGTCATAAGGAGGAGGGAGAAAGCTTGTTCACCTTAGCCTCTAAGGATAGAACAAGAAGCAATGGGCTTAAACTGCAGCAAGGGAGGTTTAGGTTGGACATTAGGAAAAAGTTCCTAACTGTCAGGGTGATTAAACACTGGAATAAATTGCCTAGGGAGGTTGTGGAATCTCCATCTCTGGAGATATTTAAGAGTGGGTTAGATAAATGTCTATCAGGGATGGTCTAGACAGTATTTGGTCCTGCCATGAGGGCAGGGGACCGGACTCGATGACCTCTCGTGGTCCCTTCCAGTCCTAGAATCGATGAATCTATGAATCTATAAACCTGGGGCCAATAGGTGTATCTCCATGAAGTCAATGGAGTTACACCCATTTACACCAGCTGAAGTTCTGGCCCCAATGATTATTAAACCAGATTTGTCCAACTGCTGGTAAAAGCCTGCTACGAACAAATGAGTGACTCGTCCCGTGGCTTTGTCAGTGCGGCAGCCCCAAAACAGAAGACAGGATAACCCCAATGGAGCTAAAGAGGGGAAAACAGGGTAAATGTCAGCAGGTATTGGGAGTTGTATCTCCCATGCTGCATGGTGCTTCTTAACCAAGGTTACTTTGCCTACAACTTGCTCCCCAGCTCTCTGCAGCCCCAGAGCATAGCCAGACAATGTCCTATGGCAGCGCTAAGAGCCACTCTGTAAACCCCCTACCCACACTGGTGGGTAACTTGAGCAATTACTCAAACAAGATGCCCCTTTCAACTCAACAAAGAGTCTTGTGTCACCTTTAAGATTAACAGATGTATTGGAGCATAAGCTTTCGTGGGTGAATGCCCACTTCAATGGAGCATTGGAATGAAGTGGGCATTCACCCACGAAGGCTTATGCTCCAATACATCTGTTAGTCTTAAAGGTGACACAGGACTCTCTGTTGCTTTTTACAGATCCAGACTAACACGGCTACCCCTCTGATACTTGACACCTTTCAACTCAGTTGATTAATATATGAAATGATCCACTCCTGACGGCTCATGGTGTTCCCAACACCCTTTAATGTTGTTGTGGCCCAGCGGCCTTGACACTGCTATGTACACCTGCCCCTTATACAATGCACATTGTTCACTGCCTGCCTTAACCCTTTCTTAGGTTTTTCCACTGGATATTGGCAGAAGTCCTTCTGTCCCAGCAGAATGGCTCACATACAGGCATTCTCTCCTTCACTGTGGCTGTAGGGGCCTCCCCTTGCCAATTTCACACGTGACAAGCTAGCACCTAGTAAAACAAAAAAGCATCAGCATAGGGACTAGCGAATGAAGCGTATTGTGCTCTCCAGCACTGCTGCTATTTCGCTGACTTCAGCGGCAGCGCCCCAGTGAGATGTAGAGCAGAATTTGGCCCATTTTAAGGCTAAAGCATACTGTGGATTCGCAACAGGGCTGCCTGGGGGAGAGAGAGAAAACCTGGGTGTTAGAAAAGTGTTGCAGGTTCTCTCAAAGGGCACTGCTTTTGGGGAGTTTCCTGTCTTTGGCGGATCATGCAAAATATCAAGAACAAAAGCATCATCATGAAGCTTCTGCACAGAATTTCCCTCTCTGCTTTGTTCTGTGATCCATTTAAATACGTATGGCTGCTTTGGTGAACTCAATAACATCGGTAGCCCCCAGCAACCACCTAAGAATTTCTTCCATATTCACAGATTGTTCAAACACAGGGAGCAGACTCCAGCCACCCATGCAGTGGGCGTCAGGCACCCTGTTGTCCTTGATATTTGGAAAAAAACAAAGTAATCAATATTTATATTTGATTCCTAAACACACACGGCTCACACATGAGTCTCGGGGTGCCTCGTGGATGGCCCAGAGTGTCATTTTTGGTGGCCTCGTCCTGAAGCCGTTCAATTTCCATCCATCCCTATGGTATGTCTGAGTATCCCGGCCTCAAAAGTGAGCTACACACGAGCCCAACACTGAGCATACAGACCCAGCGAGGATGGGATGCATGTAGCTGATATGGATTGGGACGATCCGGTTCAGGGATCCCGTTATTTGGGAATATTCCGATTCTGAAATCGGATGGAGCTCGGCTGGTCTCAGTGGTGGCAGATGACAGAACAAGGAGCAACGATCTCAAGTTACAGTGGGGGAGGTTTAGATTGGATATTAGGAAACACTATTTCACTAGGAGCAGGGCCGGCTCTAGGATTTTTGCCGCCCCAAGCAAAAAAAATAAAAATAAATAAAAATTCTGGGAGCGCAACTGCCAAAGTGTTCAGAATGCCACCCCTGAAAGTGTGCTTGGTTTGCTGGTGCCTAGAGCCGGTCCTGACTAGTAGGGTGGTGAAGCACTGGAATGGGTTACCTAGGGAGGTGGCGGAATCTCCATCCTTAGAGGGTTTTAAGGCCCGGCAGCCACACTGCTTGGATAGAGAGGAATTGTTAACTCCTGCTCTGACGTGTGAAACTCTGGGTGATTGTTTAGAGCAAGTGATGCATGCAGCTCTTTACAGGGATTTCTGGCTACAGATTGTATCAGGTGCACCTAGGATCCCATGGGTCAACACGTCACAGTCCACAGAACCCTATAAATACTGGGACAATCTGTCTCATCTTCCATCTCGCTTTGCCTGGTGCATCTTCTCTGCAGTGACACTGAGATCTCAGCCGACTTTCAGCCATGAAGGGCCTCTACCTGCTCTGTGTTGTTGCCCTCCTCCTCTTCCATGCTGGTCCAGGTGAGAGATAAAATAACCTGTAGGGATTATTATTACTATGTAGGTTTCATGTTGCAGTAGCACCAAGAAGCTGCAACAAAGACATTCAATTCCTTTAGTTTGAATTAAAGGAAAACCACCCAGTGTCTCGGCCCTGAATTCCCACTGATCACAGCTTTCTCAGCATTGTGTGTGTTGGAAAATGAAAGTTGCGGTTGCACGTCGCTTTAGTGAGTTCATTGCTCCGAATGAACACCTGTCTTGTTGAAAAAGAGAGACTCCATCTCTGGCATTACCAGGACAGAGCCTAAGCCAGTCTCAAAGCTAATCTCCAGGTACTTTTAGTCCCCAGTTCTGGGAACAATTGTGTCCTTAACTTACTCACAAGCTGATTTAAGCTTCATGGGCTGACATTTAGGACTCGATCCTCAGCTCGTGTTGAACGGTCTTTGAACTCATGGAGCTACACCAGGTTACTCCACCTCAGGAACTTACCTAATATATTTGTAAGATAAGATCTAAAGTACACGGTTCTATGCTGTCTTGAATTTGTTCTGTTGCTACTGTGTTCGGCTGTCAGAGTTGACTAGGTTTTTCTGTGAATGTCTGTTAAACATTGCAAAATTTTAATACAAAAGAAAATGTTAAAATAAGAAAGAAACCCCCCTTTCTAAATGATTCCACACTCTCATATAGAAAATACAGGATGGGGGCTTTTAAATCAGTCTGGTTTTTTGCACACAAGCAAATGCAATACATTGCCTCGGGCCCGGTCTACACTAAAAAAGTTAGGTTGACCCAGCTTCATCACTCAGGGGGGTGAGAAATCCATGCGCCTCAGTGATGTAGTTAATCCAACCTAACCCCTAGTGTAGACAGCACTAGGTCGGTGGAAGAATTCTTCCGTCAATCTCGCTACAGGCTCCTGGGAGATGGATTAGCTACGCCACTGGGAGAACTCTCCGGTCGGCACAGGCAGTCTCTATACTGAAGCACCCGGTGGCTCAGCTGCAGCTATGCCACTGCAGCATTTCAAGTGTAGACAAGCCCTAAGATTGAGTGTGCAGACAGGAGCCTAATTGTATTAACGAGGTCCTGGGGGTGCTGTCTCTCCCTGCACTCGTTATTGCTTGCTACACGGTTTGGGATTCTCAGTCTTGCAATAGTATTTATAATTTGAAGCATTTTCCCTTGGTGCCAAGTGAATGCATGTGCAACCCTGTTCCTTTTTATGTGCAGATTTCCTTGCCAGTAGAGCGCTCCCCGCTTCCAGCGTCTGCAGCCTGGGCTTCATGTTCCCATCCTAAACGTAGGCACCTTCCTCCCTGTTTAGGAACTTTAAAGTGAAGTTCAGAGATGTGCTGAGCACCCAAAAGTGGAGTCGGTGGCAGTGGTAGACAGCTGACCCCTCGGAAAGCCAGACCACTTTTCTTTTGGTCCCTACGTCAGGACTTAGGAGTGTACGTTCAGGCACCACATGTTTGACCACTTAAGCAACCAAGTGAGAGGCCAGGGAGAGTACCTAGCCCACTGTTCATCCTCTATTTGCAGCTCTGGCTACCAACCAATCATTTCTTTTTCTCTTGTGCAGGTAATGGCGACCCGATTTCTCCCTGTGAGTCCAGTGGTGATGGTCTCTGCATAGGGTCTTTGGAAATATGCCGTTCTGGTATATTTCTGGATCTAATATGCTTTTCAGGACGCTGCTGTAAAAAATAGCGAATATGCTGAGCCGAAGTAATATACAAGGAGACGCCTCGCAGCATCGTGAGAGAGATTTGTACCCCTTCTTTGAATAAAATATGTCCCATCACATTTTTAAATGACTGGAATCTGTTTGGGAGCGGGGCAGTGAAGGAAAAGAGTAAACGTTCTCGTCATTCTTCTCTGCTCAGAAACATTTCCTAGGAGTGAGTGTGGAAGTTTAGGAGAAGAGACATAGGTGTGTATTATTCTAAAACCCATCGAGCTATGAGGAAGATGTACTATAGGAAATGATCCATTCCTGACGGCTCATGGTGTTCATGCTTCAACACCCTTTAATGTTGTTCTGGCCCAGTGGCCTTGACACTAATATGTACACCTGCCCTTTATACAATGCACATTGTTCACTGCCTGCCTTAACTCTTTCTTAGGTTTTTCCACTGGAAATTGGCAGAAGTCCTTCTGTCCCAGCAGAATGGCTCATATACAGGCATTCTCTCCTTCACCGCTGGCTGTAGGGGCCTCCCCTTGCCAATTTCACACATGACAAGCTAGCACCTAGTAAAACGAAAAAGCATCAGCATAGGCTCTAACGAATGAAGCGTATTGTGCTCTCCAACACTGCTGCTATTTCGCTGACTTCAGCAGGACCACCCAGAAGATTCAGGGGGCCCGGGTCAAAGCAATTTCGGGGGCCCCTTCCATAAAATAAATTGCAATACTATACAATACTAAATTCTCATGGGGGGCCCCTGTGGGACCTGGGGCAAATAGCCCCACTTGCTCCCACCCCACAGGCAGGCCTGGGAAAAATAAACCTTCCGCATCTCGGCACAAACCCAGTTTTGAGAAAACTTCTTTACAAGGTATCACTGGTTCTCAGCATCAGCTAGTGCTAAAAGGCACTAAAGCTCATTAAAAGGGTTGGACAAATATTTTCCGTCAAAACTTTTTTTGGATCGAAAACTAGGAGTTTTTAAAAAGCAGAAAAATATCACGGACAATGTCTGCTTTCCTTCAAAATTTGTTGGGGTTTTTTTAATTGAAAAGCTGAAATTAGTCTGCCAAAACCTGACTATGGTTTGGGGTTTCAGAAGTGTGTGGCCAAATATTTGCTGCTTGCTGTGTTTGATTGTTTAAAGAAACAATAAGAAAATTCTGCTCAAAAAAACCCCCAAACTTTTGAACCGCCTCAGCTTGTGACCAAACGCCTGAACCCATCCAGTCAGAGATTTTTCCAGGTTTCTGATACTCTGCTGGCTTCCTTGACTCATATCTGTCTCCATAACTTTGGGTTCATTTAGGTTTGAACATAAGAACAGCCATACTGGGTCAGACCAAAGGTCCATCCAGCCCAGTGTCCTGTCTACCGACAGTGACCAATGCCAAGTGCCCCAGAGGGAGTGAACCTAACAGGTAATGATCAAGTGATCTCACTCCTGCCATCCATCTCCATCCACCCTCTGACAAACAGAGGCTACGGACACCATTCCTTACCCATTCTGGCTAATAGCCATTAATGGACTTAACCTCCATGCATTTATCTGTTTCCTAGAGACTGGCTCCATGGGATCCCTCACAAACTGGAGATGGTTACTGTGGGTTTGTCTTTAGTATAGCTTATGTACATAGTCCATGAACTGAGCATTTGAGCTTGTTCCAGAATGTGGGATGAGCCTATGTTGTGAAAACTGAAATGCTCAAAATAGCACATGCATGTGAATGGACACAGGGTGCTAAAATTAAATTAACCCAGGGGTTCTCAAACAGGGGGTCGGGACCCCTCAGGGGGTCACGAGGTTATTACTATGGGTCGCAAGCTGCCAGCCTCCACCTCAAACCCTGCTTTGCCTCCAGCATTTATAATAGTGTTAAATATATAAAAAAGTGTTTTTAATTTATAAGGGCGGGGGGGGGGGGTCGCACTCAGAGGTTTTCTATGTGAAAGGGGTCACCAGTACAAAAGTTTGAGAACCACAGAATTAACCCCTCTGAAGCCTCAGGGAATGCGGGGGAGGGGGTCTCCCTTGGTAGGGTTGGGAAGGAGGTAGGTGGTGTAAGATATTGCTCTTCTCATGTAATCCCTCCCCCAGTGGTTAATTTTAAATGAAGCTACCCTTCCCTGACATGAATCTCCCTATGGCACTGAAATTAAATATAGACTATAATTTGGCATTTGAGAAGTGAAAGGGACGGCAGCCCTAATGGAAAAGCTAACAGCTTGGCTCTTCTGCAAGCCTCAAACTGCTGAATGGGCTTTAGGGTAGGGAAGGCTGTACCTCCCAAACAGCCTGGCCCTGCCCCCATCCGACCCCCACCCACTTCCTGCCCCCCGACTGCCCGCCCCCCTCAGAATCCCCGACCCATCCTGCTCCTTGTCCCCTCACTGTCCCCCAGAGACACCCCCCCAACCACCACCCCAGGATCCCACCCCTGCTCCCTGTCCCCTGACTGCTCCGACCCCTATCCACCCCACCCCCGCCAAGTCCTGACAGACCCCCGGAACGGCCACGATCCAACCTCCTGTTCCCTGTCCCCTGACTGCCCCCCCCCAACCATTGCTCCCTCCCTTCCCCTTATCCAACCCCCTACCCCCTTACCTCCAGCTCCCCCCTCACCCGGAGCCTCAGCGCTCCGCATCCAGGAGCGTCCCTGGACAGTGCTGCAGAGTGGCTCTGGTGGGGCCTGAGCTCCTCCCTGCTCAGAGCCGCGTGGTAAGGGGACGGGGCTGCGAGCTCCAGCGGGGCCCGAGCTCCCACTGTTCGGCCCAGAGCTTGCACTCCCACCCCCTTACCACGCGGCTCTGAGCAGGGATGAGCTCAGGCCCCGCCGGAGTCAGGGACGCACCTGGATGCGCTGAGGCTCCGGGAGAGGGGCGGGGGCAGAGGCGGGGTCAGTCCGGGGCCAGGGAGGGAGCCTCAGCCATTCTCATGGGGGCCCCTGCGGAGCCCGGGGCCTGGGACAAATTGCCCCACTTGCCCCTCTCCCCCGGTGGCCCTGAGTTGTTCCTGTGGGTCAGTAAATACCAGAGGATGGTGCATCCTGCATTTGCTACATTCATGAGAATAGTGCAGAGCTGTGTGGGCTCCATGCTTTGTCAGAGATGGTGGACACCAAAAAGTGCCACGTGGCTTTGTGGGATTTTTTTAAAAAAAGCATGAAAATTATGGGAAATGGTTGGCTCATGGGATGGAGAAAGTTGCATGCTGAAAATTTGATTCCTAGCTCCCAGAGGTCCCTGGGCGACTTATTTCTATGCCACAAAACATTGTGAAAAAACCCCAAACCGTGGTTGCATATAATACTGAGATGCTTACCAGTGATCCACCACACTTTGCACTGTGACGTTGTGTAGTCTATATGGTTTTATAAAAATATAAGTGAATATAATGTAACTGGGATATGCTTCGTGCAAAAGGTCTCTTGTAAGGTATCATTACAAAGCTCATAATCTACTGAGTGTGATCATCCTGTTTGTAGAAATGTACCACTCTTGTATCTAAAACTAGAAATATAAAACATAACTCTGAGGGCCTATTGTAATTATGTAAAGTGTGGGCTATTAAGGATGGTTTGGAATCTTGATGACTCCCATTGTCTGCAGATGGCTGTATTTACCTGTGAGTCTTCCTGTATATGTGTGTGCTGGCAAGTGAGTAATGAAGTCTTGCAGTGACATGTGATCATGTCACCTGAACTGGAATCCATCTTTAACCTGGTGCTTTTCCGGTGATGGGGGGTGGAAACCCAGAGGGACAAAGGGTTCCCGCCTTATGCAAAAGATATATAAAGGGGTGGAAGAGAACAAGGGAGGAGAGGAGCCATCATGAAGAATCCCCTAACTATCACCTGAGCTAGATCAAGAGCTGTACCAGGGGAAAGAATTGTGCCCAGGCCTGGAAGGTGTCCAGTCTGAGAAAAAAACTTACTGAAGCATCTCTGAGGGTGAGATTATCTGTATTCAGTTTGATTAGGCATAGATATGCGCATTTTATTTTATTTTGCTTGGTGACTTACTTTATTCTGTCTGTTACTACTTGGAACCACTTAAATCCTACTGTCTGTATTTAATAAAATCACTTTCTATTTAGTAATTTACTCAGAGTATGTATTAATACCTGGGGGAGCAAACAACTGTGCATATCTCTCTATCAGTGTTATAGACGGCGAACAATTTATGAGTTTGCCCTGCATAAGCTTTATGCAGGGTAAAACAGATTTATCTGGGTTTAGACCCCATTAGGAGTTGGACATCTGAGTGCTAAAGACAAGCACACTTCTGTGAGCTCTTTTCAGGTAAACTTGCAGCTTTGGGACAATTGAATCAGACCCTGGGTCTGTGTCTGGAGCCAGGCGGGAGTGTCTGGCTCAGCAAGACAGGGTGCTGGAGTCCTGAGCTGGCAGGGAAAACAGAAGCAGGGGTAGTCTTTGCACATCGGGTGGCAGCTCCCAATGGGGTTTCTGTGATCCAACCCGTCACATGCACCAACTCAGGTATTCCTGGTGAGTACGTACAGTGCAAGCAGCCGAGTATGCGATATACTTCTGCGTCTGTATGCTGATGTAACCTGCATCCCTCAAGTCAGGGACAACAGCTGGGTTATAACTTGATTTACCTCTGCAATGTAAACAAGTCCTTGTGCATTAACTTTCCGGCTGCAAAAAACGTAGTGGAGACAAGGCACTTTAGTTGTATGGCAACGTCGGCTCAGCGAGGACAACCTGGCTGGGGGTAGAGTGCTGGCGTCAAGCAGCTATCTAGAAGTGCCTTGCCTCCACTAGTATTTTACAGAGAGATAACTGTGACATTGGTAAGCCAAGTGTCAGCTCTGGCCAAGGCCTAGGCACCAGACCAGCTCACTTGTGTGTTAGTGGGGACATGGCTTAGTCTCCTGAGCACGGAGGGACAGAAGTATATCCGGAGCTACCCTGTTTATCCATAACCCCAATATGGCAGGGATTCTAAATAAATAAACAGAGATATACTTATCTCATAGAACTAGAAGGGACCCTGAAAGGTCATTGAGTCCAGTTCCCTGCCTTCACTAGCAGGACCAAGTACTGATTTTGCCCCAGATCTCTAAGTGGCCCCCTCAAGGGCTGAGATTATA